AGCTCTGCTTGTGATTTGATAACTTGCAATTGCTATTAGGGGATACATTCAAGAAAGCAAATTATTAACTTGGCATTTAACTAATATGTAACTTAAAAATAAGTACAAGTAGTTAATGAAATGTCTGTTACCTGATTGCTAATAACCTTACATCAACTTCAGGGCAAACCTCTACAAGTTTCCTACCTTTGGATGGTTAGGTGTGAAAATGCAGGACAAGCTCCACGGGGGCGAAAACTACCTACACTGACAAGTACTACTTCCTATGGCTTAGGAGCTCTGGGGACACACATTCCTCAGTCTTAAAGCTGGGGAACTTAAATAGGGAAACAGCATTACTCAGTTGTCTTCCAGGTACAGTCAGCAAACTACTTAAGCACCTTGATTGGTTTGGGGATTTTTGCTGCAGTTTTCTTAATGTATCAGAGAATTTAGTCACAATCCTGAGATAGTTTTATAAATATATATCTAATAATTATATATATATTATTATTATTACTATTACTTTCCTTCCTGTTCATCTCCACAGTCCCAGTTCAGGCACCTTAACCACTAATATGCAGCTGGGGTTGGTTTGTTCTTAGCAATGGCAGTTGAACCAGTCCCACCATCCATCAAGCATCTTGAGCTTCTCTGACAGCACTGTGGGAAAAATTCTTTACTGGGATTCTGTTGTGCCTGCCCTTCACTGAACAGACCTTTGGCCTTGCTGCTTGCAGGAAATGAGTGCTTTTCCTTTGTCGTTAGTATTCAAGTTGTTGCTTGAGGATAAAAGATGTTCCATTATTTTTTGCTGTAATCTTAGTAACTTGAGACTTGAGTCAAATTCACTGACCTGAAGACTTTGAAAAATGAAGTTTCAAAAAGTAGGTAGACTAACTGCATGTAACATAGTGAGTATTTACACATAGTGATACTTTCTACCAGTCTTTTGAAATGGTTAGTTATTAACTGAGGAAGCAATCAAGTGTTTGACACAGATTCTATTTTGGGAAGTTTCTCATTGCACATGAAAGGACTAGGAACAGAATGTTTCAGTTACTTTAAGTTGGGGGCCCATAATTAAAGCTTATGAGTCAGACAAATCCTGAAGTAAAAAAGGGCAATTTAACACTCTGGTCTATCTCATAGGTAGAAGTCAAGCATAGCAACTTTTTTCTTCAGAGAAAAATTCAGTGTTTTTTGAGTTGAAGAAACTTACATCTTGTATTCTCCATGCGTCTTATGTTAGAGGAAACTTACTGTGAGTTAGCTGCTTGTCTCAGTAGAAATGTTATCTTAGTCTAACATAACACACCTGTATTAAATACTTTTCTAGACTGAAATGATTATCCATAGCGTGTTATTTCATGAAGTCAGGAGTCAGGGTCAGAAGTATTGCTTGTGAGCTTTGCTTTATTATCTTCTTTCTTCCACACAAAGTTGTACATTTCTAATTATGTTGAAAGTAACTATTGTTTTGTTTGTTTGTTTTTTTAATTTTGAGCAATTTTCTTATGGCATCAGCTATATGAAGACTGTTTGTTTTCTATTTCAGCTGTTTGGAGTCTTTTGGGCTGCATACAGCGCTGCATCTTTACTAGTCGGAGAAGAATTCAAGACCAAGAAGCCCCTTCTAATTTATCCCATCTTTTTATTATACATTTATTTCCTGTCCTTATACACTGGGGTGTGATCTAGTGAAAGATGTGGCCAAAACCCATGTTTTCTTCACTTGCAGACTGATAATGTGTAAGATTAAGGAGGCTGGAAATAATACAAGTGACTGTTTTGTATCCAGTTGTCAAGATGTTTTAAGATTGAAGAGCATATTTGTGTATATTATTTAATGAAGTAATTGTAGCTATATAGATTTGTATCAAAGTTCTAGGTTTGTTTAAGACTCTTCAGATTTTAATGAACAAAATAAAAGACCTTGTGTTTTATAAAAAAAAAAAAAAAAAGTGTAGCAAAACCACAACTCTATACCTGTGCCAAAAGCACTAGGACCAGATTACTATATTAGAGGAGAAAAATAAGTTAATCGTAACAATCTCAAAGTGCAATTTTTTCTTTTGAGCTTAAACAGCTGGCTTTTTTTGGCACAGCAAATTCTGTAGATAATATATATATTTATTAAACAGTCCTTACTGTTCACAGAATAGCCTGTATAATGAAGACATGAAGATACTACTTATAATTTAGTGCCTCAATTACTTTCATTTGGCTCTTGAGTTTTTATAAATTCCAATTTGTTTCCAAAATATGTATATATTGTGTATTTTGTATCTATGACTTGCGTGTAGCATACGTACTCCTTGGTTAAGGATGTGTATTGGGTTTTCAAAATTTGAAAATACAAGTATTTAAGGTCTTCATTTACCATCTCTGACCAAAGGAGCAAGACACTTACTGTGTAACAGAAAACATTAAATTGCTTCTTTAGAGACTCAAGTTAATGTACTCCAGTTTTAAATTTAGAAAGAAACAGGTGAACACCTGCCTCAACTGTAGGGCTGGTTTAGTGTCAGAGGGGGAAAAAAAATCCAATTTGTGTGCTCTTGAAACAGTGTTTTATGATGACAAAATAAAAAGAATGCTTCCCTAAGTATATTTTATAACATCTTGCTCTATTTTTAATTTTTTTTTTAATAGTAATGACATTTAACCTACATTTTCCTTTTTTCCCCAAGGTTGATTCCTTACAAAAAATAACAATATTTGTAAGGTCAGATTCTCTCCCCCACTAGAAGAGCTAGAACTACAGCCTCAGTAACAGTCTTGCTAATTTTGACTATCCAAGGATTATGTAAGAAGGTGATGACATTAAATATTTCCTGTGTACTGTGTTGATTGCTTATGTAATAGTCCTAACGGTAACGTTTCTTCTCAAGAAAACTCCACTGAAATTCACTTTGCATGGTACTTTGTTGTTTGCAACCTTCAGTATTTAGCATTACCAAATAGATCTCAAGTATCTCTTATTATTTTAATCTTTGGTTGGGGGAAGCATTGCCCTAGCATTTTTTTTTTATTTTTTTTTTCCCTCCATCCCAATGCGGGAAATGAAAGTCACCCATGGAAGGGAATAGCAAGGGCTATCTTTGATCCGTAATGGATGTATTTCCTTGTGAGAAGTTTCTCAGCTTTTTCAATGGCATAACTTGCCAGTTTAGCAACTTATTTTTACCGCTCGTTGTTGATGCAAAATACAAAAGTAAATTCCAGTTCTACTGTGGCCCTTTAGCTTACTTGGACTGCTTCTCTGGCTGATGCTTGTGTTGGTTGGAAACAAAACTACTGAAAGTTGATGTTGGAGTGTAACATAATATTCTGTCTTGTAATACATTAAAGGACAAAACCTGGTGGAGTGACTGACTTTTCACCTAATTTTTGACTTCTGTGGAAGTTTTGGTGGAATTGCTGTAGTCGTATGTATATGCTGGCAGCTTAGTTCTTATCTGGAATATTTTAAGAATACTCAATCCCCACTTTAAAAAAAAAAAAAAAAAATTAGTGATGCACACTAGCTTTATTTTGAAAAATAATCTGGTCTTACCTCTTTCATGGCTGTGTTTCTTAATCAGGAGTATCAGGCTGTAAGACTCCAGACAAACACTGAGAGTTCACATTTAATGCCACCGCAAACATGAGAGGTAAGGATGCACGTAGTTTACTGTGCTGTCAGAGGGTTTAGGCTCACCTTCTCTTTGCATAGCTGTTCTGTTGGTGTTCATAACAGACCTATGCATCTGAAATGACTATAAACATTGAGGATGCAATAACGTTCTATTTTGTCTTGAAATATCTTCATTTCCTCTGTATTAGCGTTCTGTGAAACTGATAGCTGCAACTGAAATGTTCCTTTTGACAGATCGGGCACATGTAATATGCAATGTCAATATGCACAACAGTACATATTTTGTACGCAATTGCAGATTTGCACCTGTTACTCCGCATCTTTAGAGTCACCTTTTGCATATGCTGTGCAAAAATATGTACAGACAGCTCAAACGGTTCTCATAGTTTGTAATAACTTTGCATTCAATAAACTTATTTTTAGATAAGGTATGTGTAAGTGCAAGATGTATTTTATAAGAGTTTTTAATTAAGCTTGTTTATTTCATGTATATTTATTAAGGCACATCTCTATTCCTATCCCTGTCATCCATCCCAAGCTTTGTGACAATAAATAAATGCAGGGCATGATAAAGACACAGCTTTTATTTGTCACGTATGGACGCCTGGTATCTACCAGCAACGTGGGCCACCAAGATGGAGCACCTTACATCAAGATGGAGATGCACGATCGCCACGTGCTCTTTGCCGTACGGATACCGGGCAATTCGCGGCTGCACACCTACTTGGAAATTACATGAAGCCCTTGGTCTGCCTCGGAGACACGGACACTTTCCCGCTATTAACTTCTGCTAATCTGAATCCTTTGATAAAGACGCTCCCGCCGAATGCCGCGGTTGCTCAGAGCAGCCACGGCCTACGGCAGCACAAAACCCGTCATTCCTGAAGCCCGTTAACACGCCGGCGTCCTCCTGCTGCCGTCGCCGGGCGGACTCCCCCGGGAGTTTCCGCACCGTTCTCCCGGCGCAAGAAGAGCGCGCACCGCGCGGGCCTAGCTTTTACCCGGAGCGCTAAACTGCGCGGCAGCGAGGGCACGGAACGAGGGGCGGCTCCAGGCGCGGCCGCCGCCCTGCCGCCGGGGGCGCAGCCCTGCGCGCGAGCGAGCGGGGCAGCGCGCGGGAGGCTCGCGCCCTTGGGAAGCCGCGCGCGCGGCCCAGCTCCGCCCCTCGCTGCCCTGCCGCCCGCCATTCTGTGTGACGGGCGGCCGCTCGTTCCCTCCTCCCGCTCTCGGGCCCGCGCTCGGTTCCGCGTCCGGCGCGATTGCGTCACTTCCGTCTCACGCTGGCGCTCTCCCTTTCCCCCTCTCCCCGGACCCGGATGGTGACTGGCGGCGGCGGCCGGGCCTGTCACTGAGCGGCCCCGGGCCTCTTGTCCTGAGGGCGGCGGCGGCCGGCAACATGGCGGCGGCGGCCTCCTGCTCCGCGGCGGCGGCGGCGCCCGCTGGGCCCGGACCGGGGCCGGCGTCGGCCGGGCCGGGCTCCTGCGAGTGGCTGCTGCTGCGGGACGGCTGCCTGCGCTGCGACGCCGACGGGCTGTGCAGCCTGTGCTACCACCCGGCGCTCAACGCCATCCTGGCCGTGACCGCGCGCGGCGCCATCAAAGTCATCGACGGCACCTCGGGGGCCACGCTGCAGGCCTCGGCCCTCAACGGTGAGCGCGGCCCCGCGGCGGGGAGAGGCGGCGGCCGCCGTGCCGTGCGCCGTGGCGGAGGGAGGGGCGGCCTTCGGGCGGGGGTCGGCCGGCCCCGGGGCAGCGCCGAGGGGCGTACCCGGCTCCTCGGCGCCTCTCCGCGTTTGCGAGCCGGAGCCGTTCCTGCTCTCTCCGGCGGACGCGTTCGCGTGGGCAGCGGCGGGATAGCCGCGTTCCGTAACGCGGAGCGGCGTGGCCGCTGCGGGCTGAAGCGCGGATAGAGGAAGAAAGGGCCGCGTAGGGCGGCGTTTTGCCGCTTCGGTTTTTCAGTGTCGGCAACGTAAATTTGAGCCTTCGAGCGTGTTGTGCTTGGATGGGCGTAGTTCTCGTTGCTGACGATGGGTGATACTGTAATGCGTGCGAGTACTGAGCCTTCAGCCGGGTTCGTCAAGAAGGCTTTCTCAAGGGTGTGATTTGTCTTGCTGCGAAAAATTATTGAAGATTGAAGTCGTTCTGAAAGTTTTTTGGTAGTGCGTTTTGAATGTACGTTTGCATTGTTCTCCAGGCTGCTGAGTGTCACGACTGTCTTTGGAGCTGGTAGTAATATCTTTGCTGCAATGGTCAGACTAGTCCATCTTAGTGGCCTTTTCCAGCGTAAACTGTTCAGTGATCCTGTGGTAGAGAGACACAGTTACATGCTGGCTCAGACTGCAGCACGTCGGTAACTACAAAGCAGTGATCTCTGTTGCCCACTGATGTCTTTATTTAAAAACTAGATCTGTAGAAGTTCCTTGTGCAAGTCAGGCTTTTTTTCCCCCTAGTTTGTGCATTTGTTCTTAGGCTGTGACACTTGTCAGAATATTGCAGGGTGTTTTTTTTGTATGTTGTGAGAGCAGACCTTGGATTAGAAATTTGTGTTCTCACTTGTTGTGTGTTTTGCACTTTGTTTCTCCTTATTGTTGTAGAGTTACGTGTTGTGAAGTGGATCCGGCTTTGCTGAGTGGTGTGAGTGAAGGATTGACAGTTGTCACCTGCATGTAGCCTAGCAATGTCAGCAATTGTATGGACGTGACACAGTCTGAGTAATATATGTACTTTTACCTTGAAAACCAGCAACTGTATTATAGTGCCAGGTGAGAGAGAACAAAACAAAAGAACACGATTTCCTCTCACGATTCGAAGTTAGGTGCATTATAAACTCATAAGTGGTTGAAGAAGAAGTAATTTCTGTGGGATTCAGAAGTTGTCAGCTGCTTTTTTTGTACCTTGCTTGTATTGAAAGTGAGACTCTTGTATGGTGTTCCCCACTTTGTTCAGAATTCAAATCACTGCTTCTAACGTACCCGTTCTTCTACCTTACTTCTCAAATGCTTCTACATTAATAACTTTCATTTCTCTTCTTCAAATAGTTACCACAATTTGAGGCTTGCTTCTGAGTTGTGGGGGAAGTAGGCATAAATGGAGGACTTGATTTGTAATTGGCTGCCTGTGTAGGAAATGTTTAATGATCACGAGCAGAAGTGAACTCTAAATCAAAGTCTGAGGTTTGGGTTTGTGGAGTTTTGGGTTTTTTTTCTTCATTTTTCTATGATAAAATTCTTGCAGGGGATTTGATTTAGTATTCAAAACGCTAATGGCAATTTTCCCCTCCATAGTAACTATTTAAAAATAACTTACTGCTCTGCCTGTGTTACATACGTTCAGCCGTGTGCGCTTCCGGTAGTGTCAGTCTTCTCTGCGACACGGGAATGACTGCAAAAGATGGATTCTCATCCCTCACATCAAACAACAGAGCTGCTTGCAGTGTGACCAAATATTGTCTGCTCCCAGATGGCTGATGGTTCTGTTTAAATTTATAACCTGCACTAATTTGAAGAAAATACAAGTGAACTTCATTACGGATTGAGACTGACGTGGCTGACAGAAACGGGGTACATCTCAGCAGTTGGTGGCTGTTGAGGCTGCTGTTGACTGTGCTGATTGTTGTTGCCAGCCGTTCTTTGGAAAGAGGAGAAGTGATGTCTGCTTACTGTGTGCGGGACAAACTCTTGGAGTGTCAGATGTTGGTAGCTGGACACGCAGACCTGCAGGCCGGCTCTGTCCCTGTGTGCTCCCCTGATATAAATGACAAGTCAAAGTATATTGTTGCTACAGGGACTTCTGGTGCCACGCCTAAAAATAGAGTCTCTAGGAATTAAAACTGCTTCTCTTGAGAGGCTGCTGTCCTCCTTGGTGACTGGGCTGCAGGCCTTTTGCCCTGTCAAGAGGTTTGCGTTAGACAGAAGTGCTTTTGCATTTTTCTTGTTATCTGTGGGGATAAAAAAAAAAAAAAAAACAACCAAACAAAACCATACCAGCCTTTCTCTCTAGAAAGCAGAGGAAGAAAAAGGATCCCTTAACAAGGGAAAGAAATAAAAATGCAATAAAATGAAATATCACCAAACCCTGGTATTGCTTTCATCCATGGTTTGCTGCGAGAAGATATTAAGCTCTGAGCTCCTTCTTAGTGAAAAGATTGAAGCTGTGGAATACTAAAATCAGTAGAGCAGTGGAGCCTGCATTGATCACAACGTATATGCGGATTGCTGTCATTGATGTATTAAAAGAACAAGATAAAAGATTCACAGCCAGAAGGCAGTTCAGTTATAGATCATGTCTTCATGCTTCCGGAGGTTTGGATGTGGTCTGTGGCCTTTGTGCTTCAGTTTCTGATGTCAACATAATTGGTCTGATTTATCTGATGATCTGGAGGTTGTTGTTCTGAGCCCAAATTGCAGGAATTCCATGAGGAATGCTTAGGCTTTTCGCTCCCATTCCGTGCTTCTTTGGGATCATCACTGGATCTTCTAAGATCTGCCTCCTGAATGTGTGCAGTCATTTTGTACTGTTTAAGTCTGTTCCCTGTGTGGGCTCTGTAGGTGCATTCAAGACAGCCAGGGATCAGTTGCAACAGCTCAGGGAGTGATAATGAAAAAGAGTGTCATTGGTAAGGGGAAAATGAAGTGAGCATTTAGTGTGAACCTTTGTCTTACCTGTTCAGGATTGTTCTTTCTATTCTCTTAAGTGAACACCATCACTTCAGAGTGACCTGCAGGCAAATGCAAGAACGGTTCCTATGATTGCTGGCAGTTGAGCATTTCTGTATGCTTGTTAGTAGTGGTCACTTAGTAGGGACTGGTAGGAGTCTGTCACACAGGTCTGTCGAGTACCTTATTCCTGTTTAGCATTTCAGTACTCGTGTGCTTCCAGTTTCAAGCTGAGTGGTGGTATCCAAAGAACGTGAATGATTCAAATACCGGTTTCCAGACGCAGTGCTAAGAAAGAACCTTTTCTTCTATCTTGAAGAAAAAAACTTAAAAAGCCTTCCCCCAGGCAAAATAAAATTCTCCAATTTCAGGTGACTCTCTTCGTGTTCATATGATATTTGATTTGTCAGATCCTTTTATTCACAAATGAAATAAGAAAACTGTGAACTGAGAGAGTGCTGCAGTTCGCAGGGAAGCTTGACCAGGAACACAGGAGGGAACCAGGATGTACTGTGTGAGGGACACTGACCATCTTAAATGTTTCTGTAGTTTTTTTTCTAGAGGAAATTGACATAGCAATGACATCAGAATCTCATTTGCTAAAATATTTTTGTTTGCTTGCTAGAGTCTTTAAGATGACTGTAGACTCCGTAACGGTAATCAAAGTACAGACCTCTGAATCCAAGTGCTTAATATAGAAAGTTGTCTGTTCATTGTATGCATACACCAGTTCCTGCAAGGGAAACAGAGATTCTGAATTATCGCCAGAGGCCCTCGTGTTCCTGTTCCTCCAGCAGAAGAATTTAGAAAGAAAGAGATCCCAGCCCAGGAGGGTCACCTGTGGCAGCAAGTTGTCCTTGGATACCTTTTCATTTTTATTTTTTGCATTTCTGCGTGGTGCAAGAAGAAAAGATTCTCTTCTGCAGCTTGGAAGTCATGGGTGGAGTTTGCATTTTGTGTAATCATCTGGAATATGCAGTTGGGATTCTCTGCTATCCATTTCTAGGCTTGAAATGAATGAAGGGCAGTAACAGCAGTTCCATCTGTTTCAAGATCACTGCAGTAATACTGCTCAAGTAATTTCCCTTCATTAGAGTCGATTCAAACCTTTGTATCATTTGTTTAATTACAAGATAAAAAAAAATCTGATTACAGTACAGTATTGCTAGGTATTTGACAATGTCTTCCTTTTGAATATACTTGGACCTGGATGACAACACTAATCTGGGAAAAGTGTTCCTCAATGAAATCATTCAATTGATTTATTGATCTGAAGGCCATTCATGAGAAGTCTTAAGTGCTAACAAAACCCAATGAAACCGTAGGAGAATTGTCAGATTTGAGTTGTGTTTAATACCAGAGAAGATTGTAGACTACTGTGTGCTCCATTTGTCTGCTAGATATATCAACGTGTGTCCCATATCCCCTTTCAGTGTGCATCTTGCCAGCCTATCAAGATGCTGTTAAATGATACTTCCAGGCTCTGTGGAAACACATCTGCATTATGTTCTGCAGAAGCTAACATAAAATATCAGTTCTTTTTCATAGGCTTTTAAAGGAGTTTTTACATTACTGTTTATTGCAGGGATCCAGAAGTGACGGCAAACAGAGATGGACGTGTATGCTGTGTTGCCAGGCAAAACATAAAAATGTTTTTTTATTGACAGATCATTCGTATCTTGACTGATGGATTCATGGCTGCCATCACAGCAATAGGGCTGGATGAGTGAAAATTTCAGAATCCTTTAATGTCAGAAAATGAGAAATTTCCCTTCCCTGTGCAAATGGAATTTGAAAAAGTCTTCTGCAGACAGGAAGATGCATCCTGAAATGCTCCTAACTGACCTGAAAGGGAAGTGCTATGCTCTGCAGCGGGGATTTGAGCTTTGCCTTCCTGCTGTATTGCATCTCGCAGGTAGCTGAGGTACTTGTGATGGATGTGATAAGGCACTTTTCAGCCACAGTACTGATCGTCAGCCATCTTTGGTCAAGACA